CGATAACACAGATTAGGAATTTCCACAGATATAAATCAACAGCATTTCCAAATACAATAAAATAAAAATGCATTTAGCATTTATTAAAGTGTATTCCACTGCGTGTCCTAATTCTCCACCCAGAAAACCATATAAACACCGTTTTCGCAGGAAAACATGCAAGGAGTAGGGATTAATGAGTGGGCCTACATAAGCTACTGTTGCCAGCTAAACTATTATAGATGGTTTTATTTTATTAATCTTAGGGATAGAAATATCAGACTTCTATTGCGGACGTTGTTTTTGCTAGACAATGCGTTTCGCTGTTTGGAGAGATTACGGAAAATGGCCCACAGAACGATCAGAAAGAGAATATCCAAAAACTTATTTTCTCGGTAAATACCTTTAATAAATATCTTATTTAAAAATCGACATGAACGTCGAACAGTATGTAGGTATATGAACAAATCTTGAAAACACGGAAAATCGTCAAACATTCGTCGAAATTCAAAAGTCAATTTTGCAAGTAATTGTAATTTAATAACAGCAATATGTTCAAAATATTTTGACTAAGGAAAAATTATTTTGGTATAAAGAAAGTGGTAAGAAGACGACTCGATTGCTGGGACAATACTTTTATCCGCCTGACGTTTCCACATCCGTCGCGGATTAATCATCAGAGACATTAGCAGAAAAGGTTTTTTATTTAACTTACGAAAACTTTTAAATTTATTATTCTAATTTATAGCTATTTGTTAGTTCTTCGAAACTTGGGGGTTATTTAGAAACATTTATTTTTCTTAACAAAGGATTATTACTCCTTATATTCCTTTTAAGTAACAAACTTGCGTATGGTTATTAATTGTTATTTTTAAGATTTCATGCATGCGTTAATTTCGATTTAGGAGGTTCAGTTTATTTCAGTTTATTTGGTGAGGGTATCAGGCAATGCCTCTGAAAACCCTATTGATTACATGCTGGTGCGTCATACACATCTGTACATGCACAAATAAAATAGTCATCATTAAATTAGTATTGACAAACAATGAGTAGCATTGCATTGAAAATAACTCTTGTCTGGCGTTTGTGTGTTGTTAGGTCGAGTTCATACTGTCGAGATACAACAGGGGACAAATATAAAAACTGGGCGTAAAATGTATCACTATGGAAAACTTCGGCATTGTAGACGACCTATGCGCCGTACTTTGCCGACTAGCGTTTTTAGAAAAACCTACAGCTGGATAAAGAGTTAGATGTGGCAGCAAACCACCCAGAAGAACGCCGGCAGCCCAGGATTCCGTCCAGGCTTGAGCGGTCCAGGCCAGATTGGGTAGGCAGAGGACGTCATTTTTCGAGCTTTTTAACCGTTTATGAGACAACAGGGAGGCGTAAAAAGACGAAAGCGGTGCGCAGGCACCTTTTGTGTCGCCGGGAAGCACAGTACCGGCAGTGGGGTGTAGAGACAAAGACAACAGAAGGATGTCCGGAGTAAGAAAATCGAAAAGGCGTCGAAGGAAGCTAAAAAATTAATGGGAAAGCTAGTCAAAAGACGAGAATCACACACACAAGATATAAAGTTCTGTTCAACAAAGAATATAAAAGGAAGTCAGATAATTAGTCATAAGTCAGCAATTCCAGAGCGGCCAGAGCTAGACAAGTGAACGAGTGTCAATATCTCCCGACCTAAATCAGCTGGACAAGGAGCTCGTGGCTCAATGATTAGGGCGTTAGACTCTGGTCAAAATATTGCGAGATCGAGGCTCGGGTGGTACACCACTGAGTTCTAGGTATGACTGAGTGATGACGGCTTACAAGCCAGAAATGGTTTTTCCAGGCTCCCCTGTATTTGCCGGCAATACTGTCTGCCTATACCACTCGCTGCTACAGCTGCGAGAAATGCGGCCCATGGCAGAGCAGAGGCGGTCGGGATGAGGCTTAATGTACGTCGTCAGACGGTCCCTATACCGTTGAAAAGGCATTCAAATACCTCTTGATCTACCGTACGAATATCAAACTGGAGAAAAAGGCGTTTGGGTAATCGATAAGGATATGCTTGAGTGGGCACTTCTTTCAGGTCGCTGTTCAGTAGCATTCAATGTCAAATCTACCTCAAGATCTCCAGTTGATATGTCTTATGATCTAAGAATGCTAAGCTTGATGCCACTTTCAATAAGAAATACCGGCCGCTTCTCCGTTGAACTTTGTTTGCTGATGCGGTAGTCCGATTTGGCGGCACAGTAGTACACACCCCATTCCCTAAAATTGTCTCTGAACCTTAATTACTCTTTATGTAGAGAAAGCCATTTGGGAAAGATGGTTTATTCGGTGAATTTTCGAAGCTGGAGCCCCGCTTTATTTATCAGTCTGAACAGGTTCCCTTCAAAATAATTGCAATTACCGATGCCAAATTCATGTCACTTTTATCACTGCTCTTTTTGGATGTGCATACCATTCAGCCCAGTGCGTGGCTTGTTGTGTGGAGTGGCTGAGAGTCAGAGTGCAATGGTTCCTCCTTAATGTGGCCTTTATGGCGCTCACACAGACGCGGGAGCCTACCTAACGAGGTGGTGTTGTTGTAGCCCGTGTTGGAGTGTTTTCGCACACACCACCTGCGCCGTCCCCCATCCCCGGTCTTCTCGACTTTTGTCTTGACATCTGAATCAGGTGTGGGAGTGATGAGATAGGGGGGTAGATTCTGAAAGTCTACTTTCTCGATAACCCAGCTTTAGTCACCGCCTCTGCATTCAGCTTGCTGAAGTCCGTGGCGGACATCGTCGAGAGCGACGATTGAACTGTCCAATGTACACATTACCAACCTGCTAGGTTGGCAACTGCTTATTCAATAGAAGCGAACATGCGAGTTCCAGGAAGCAGTTCAGGAGAAGACGATGCCATCACCGGAACAAGAATTTTATTTTCCTGACGTTTCGATTCTCGACAGAACCCGTACAATCAGGAAAATAAAACTCTCGTGCCAGCGATCGCATCTTCTTCTGAATCGCTTATTCGTTCTAACCGACAGTCCGCTTGTTTCCCAAGTTTTCTTCGCTATAGGTAGTTAAACTACTGTAGTTTTGTCGAGGCGCTTGGCAGCTTGCAGACAGCCCAATAAGCACGAAAAGTTTTCCCATAACTACTTTAGTTATGATGTAATAGTGAATGGAGTGGCAAAGACGTAGGCTCAAAAAGAATTTACGCTTGACGTTGGGGAGCCTTCCACGAAAGAGTTTTATTGATGGCAGAAAGACTGCGAGCCCAAGTCGCGAGGACATCCCAGTTCCATGAATAGGGCTTCTGGCTGATGGAGAAGGTTGTACGGCGGGAAGACAGTTTACAGGATGCAGGAGGCAACGGCTGTGATTGAACAATGACGCGACTCTGTACGAAGACATTCTCAAGGAGGTCGTCGAGAGGCTAAGAGGTTAGCAGAAAAAGGAACTTTCAGGCATACAGGCTTCTGGTTAA